TTAACCCCCCTCCAGTGTTTCTCCTTCTTTTCCCATTGAGAGGGAAACTGTGGGTGTAATGGGTTGTTCATGTGCGTAAGAGGAGTATGTTTACATCACTGGCAGCGTGGGGCCTCGTTCCAATATTCCTGGATGGCAGCTTGATTCAATTGGATAGCATGTTGAGGATGATGGCAGAGCGAGGAAAAATATCCACTCCTACAATTTGTCGTCTAGGAAGCATAGTAGGTAACACAAAGAAAACCCTTGGAGGCGCATAATGCCTCACTGTCTTTCTCCACTTTTGTCCTTTTTGGCCAGGGCCCTCGGTCTTCTCCATAAATCACTCAATATGGACTCTTACACACACTCTCTCTGTGTCTAACACGCAGATACACAAGTAAGGAGAGGCAGACAGACACACAGGAAAGATGGTTTTGGCTCGGGGCACATGGAGACCGAAGGGACATGGGGTCTGCCTCTGCTGTGGTGCAATGTATATATTTCAAACAAAAATATGAACGCTCTTTGCCAGCACTTTCTCTCACCGCGGAAATGTGTCCAGCAGACACTTGACACACACACACACACATGTGCGCGCATGCACACACATGCAGGGTGAGGCCTGCTGCCAACAATAAGACTTGTTTAACGAGTCTCTGTGCTTTGTTGATTTCAATCTCGGGGCTTTGTTGTTTTTGTGAATCGCGCTCTCTAAGGCCGGTATTAATCTTCGCCATGTGTATACATAAGGTGTCCAGCGCTGCGCCGTACAACTGGGAATTGTCATGTGACAAGGTTTGGTTCAAGTTGGGTGAAGTCTTGTTTGGCTCACTGCTTCATTGTTTCCCCCGCGTTGCCAGGTCTGGTGTTTATAGTGCTGTGGTAGACCCCTTCCTCCATCACGCCTGCTTTCCTCTTCCTCCTCCCAAGTCACGTCCTCACGTCGCCTACTCCCATCTTTCTCATCGCTGCCTCTTTCCATCTCACCTCTCCTCCATTTACTCCTGCAGCAAACTTCCCTTGGCCCAGTCCAGTGTTTGTGTTCTGGATTATGCGTTCCTCGATGGCAGTGTGTGTGAGTGCAGAGAGACACTGAGGGCCTTGGCAGGGCGCTCAGTTTCCAGGTGCTTCTCTGGTGTTTGGCAACCCTCTGCCTGTGGCTGACTAACCCCTCTCCTCCTCACTGGGTCTGCACTCTTGCCTCTCTTCCTGCATTACTGCACTCACTAGAAAACCTCCTGTAGTTTGCAATACAGGCGTTGCCGCAAGACAGGAACACAAGAACAGGGTGGTTTTTCTTTTGATTGAAGGTTGTGCATGTTTTTGCTCTAGCTGCTCCTCAAAGCTGGTATCAGAGAGTTTAGACTCAAATGGCCAGGTTTTAAAGAGAAACATGAATTCAAGTCTGTGTAAAGTATCACACCAAAATAGTAGTTTCCATAATAGTTGTGTTTTGGATGGTTGGATGTAGTTAGAAGCCTGGTCATGCCAGTATTGTCAGATTGGACATGTCAGGCTCGATTGTAGCTCGCACACATAAAGACTGGGTTGTGGTTAATATCTTAATGCAGTGACCTCTGGATCTGTGTAGGCTAAGACCCAGCCAGTCTCTCCCACCAGGGTGTCTTGTTTTTCACTCAAAACCTCTAATTAGGATTAGTCAGTAACTAAGAAATGCTGGTGGAAGGTGGACTGTGGTCTCTCCAACCATTACAAAGAAAATAGAGAGTGGCTTTTGGGCCTCGTTATTTTTGGCTTTTACAGAAAAGAAAATCATTGAGGTTTATTTTGAAATAAACAGGTGGCAACTTAATTATACAGAAATGGAAATTAAAAATACCTATTGCAGCATGAGAACTGTGTAGTTTAACTCTTTGTTGTTGTTGTTGTTTTTTATTTACAATAACCTGTTTAGATCCTCCATCCATACCTATGGACATACAGTTTTCTAGGATGTCTAGCTCTATCATTACTGTTGTCTGATTCCACCTAAATGCACTAACTTATTAGACTCGGTGTCTATAAGCCAATCACAGAGTTCCCCATTATCTAAAGTGGACTGCAGTAGTGTCACGCCCCCTTTGTCACCAAGCATGGCTGATTGTGAGGCAAGCAGGAAGTGCAAGGCACATTTTGATCCATCAATAGTATTGTCTAAGCACATAATTTGTGATTAAATGTTTTTAAAATAAACACAAGATGTTATTTTACTTATACATGTCAAAGTATCAAGAACGAGCTTTAGGCACCTACTCAGGATTTTTTGGGGAAAAAAAAACATTGGAATGGACGGTAATCTGAGTAAAACTGAAAATGGAAATACTGTTTTAATTTGATTTTCTAATGATATAATAATCTTATAATCCATCTTATTTATTATGTACAACTGAAAATTCATCCTAGGAGGTTTTGAACTTACTGTTTTGTGGAGACATACTTAAGAACTTGAGGATATTTTGATCAGTAATGATAAATACAATACAAAAATATTTATGAAATGTGGTTGAAAGCATAACTTAATTCAATGTTATGAGTTAATCATTCATGAAAATAGATCATTTCAAGTTCTGTGTTGGAAAAAGGGCTGTTAAGATAGATAACACATAATTAAGTTGGGTTTTTTTTGGCTAATAATGCACTTGAAGTAGAAATCTATCATTACAATGTTTTGTTTTTGTGTGTTTGGAATCTAACTGGGTTCTGAATTAGTTAAGGCACTCTGACACATGATCAGCAGCTCATTTGCATTTCCTCCCCATTTTTCTCTTCACTTTGAGTTATCAGAGGCATATTAAATAGTGTCTGTTTTGCATGACACCTCTTAATTAGCAGTGTCCTCTGGCAGCAGCAAACACATGAGACATAAAGCTAAAGACAAAATTAGTTAAAAACCAGTCTGCTGCTTTTAAAAATCATTTCTTTTTCTTGTTTTTGTAAAACTTGGTTAAACCGAAAGGAGGAGCGTTTCCTAAGCAAAATATGTTGCAGGCTCATTTCTGTTGTTATTATTAGTCATGTTTGAAGTAGGGACTTGTGTACTTAAGTAATAAAACACTCAGAACACAGTCACAGTTAAGCACAAATTAATCTATAACTTTAATGATCATTGTCCGAAAGAAATATTATTTATAAGCATCATTTGAATCACTAATCACATTTTTAAATAACCATATAACCATAGATGTGTGCCTCATAAACATTGTCCTACAATACAAAATCCAACATGACAACAATTCACTAAATAAAAGTTAACATTTATTTACAGTGCATTTAACACACACACACACACACACACACACACACACACACACACACACACACACACACACACACACACACACACACACGTGCATCCAGGATTCTCAGGATCTCCCGTGCACCCAACAGCACCTCTTTCATTCAGGCAAGAAGACATTCAGCCCGCACTAGTGTGTGTGAGGCTCAGACATACTTTGCCTGTAAAACATCTGCGGACAGCTGCGGACATATATCGGTCACGCGGATCAACACGCGGTTCCATTCATGAGAGTGCACACGAGTGTTTTTCTATATGTTTGTAAGAAAGAAAGAAAGAAAGAAAGAGAGACATGTTGATGATCAGAGCTGCTGGTCCCACATGCCGTTTCAAACTCAGCCTGTCTTTCTCGGGTGTTTTGTAGTATCCAGTCACTGCTTTTACAGGTTGAAGTCCACCGAGCGTGCAATCCGAATTTATTGTCTGTCATTTTGTTTTATATAGATATTAAGTTTTTACCTGGTCATAATATAACATAACATAACATATGCAAACATGCCTCAGAGCACACACATTTCTACATACACTTGTCTAAACATACAATACTGATCCCCGAGACTCTGCTGTAGGTTGTCGCACTCGAGCAGGTTCCGAAGTAGACGAGGCCAGCTCCATTCTTTATCTTTGGCTGACTGAGCTTCATGTTGTCTCGCCCTTTGGGAATTAAACCATGCTATGTGGTAATTATATGCATGTTTCTCTTGGTATTTTGGGGGTTGGAGACAGACAAAGTAACATTCACATCAGAGCCAGACCATTCCTTAACGCCTACACACTGACCCCAAACAAAATATCTCACATATTTAAACAGAATAGTTGATTGACAATTGTGTTCATGGAAGCAATTCATTTATAGTAGTAGGCCTCTATATAAAATAATTGAGAAGTTTACAAGTCACGTTAGGACATTTTGGCTATCTGTCATTATGAAGGGGAAGCTGTTGTTTTGGTGTGAACTACAATGTTAGTGATCATTAATCACTTTAGGAACATTTGTGAGGATTCGCAGTTGGCTCAAAATCCAAACACACAGCGATTAAAAAATGACACATCAGTGCGGTTTGACCATAAAAAGATATGATCCGGCTTTGTGTGAAGTCAAGTCATTTCAGGACAATGATTTGGCTCCAGTTGAGACAGATAACAGTGAATTCTTGTTGCCAGGTGTCCATGGGAGAGGCTGAGAGGGATAGGCTATGGATATGTGTGCATGCCTGCACCCACTGACCTGTTATTTTTTTGTGCGTGGGCGTGCATGCATGCATTTGTGTGTGTACCGTACTGTACTCCACGGCGGCCTGACACAGACTACAGTTGGGCCAGTGGTGCATTAGCTATGGCCAGAGATGGGTTGGTATGGAATAAATAATGGATACCATCCTTTCCCTCTGAATAAATCAAGACCAGAGAAATGGAGAGAGATGAGAGATTAAATGTGGGAGAGAGTTGGAGAAATTGAATGCCAGAGAGAAAGAGAGCGTTTGTGTAACTGGAAGAGGAATATAGAAGGAGAAACTGTGTCCTGAATCCCAAATCAGTATCTCACATCTCTGAAAAGAAAAGGAAGTGGTTTAAGGAAATTTCAGTTGACACTTTTTTTTGTTGCACAAAACATGGTTTGTGAAATGATTTAAAGAGAAAATAAGAACTACTTCCTCTTATTATTAGGTCGGAACGTGATGGTGTCTTTGCTCATTTTGCTCTCGTTTCCTTTGCATCCCAGGCCCAAGGCCAGACGTTCACCTTTCCTGACATCTTCCCCCAAAAGGATGGGACGTCAGCGGAGGGCTCCATCGAAGAGATGCAGGAGAAGTTCATGGAGGACGAGAAGCAGAGGCAGAAACCCGACCCCAGGAGAGGAGGGGTCACGGAGTGGTTCGGACTCTGAGACAGCCCACTGACCGGGAACTCTGTGCTCATATGTGCGCGTGGGTGTTTCATTGGGAGCAACATATATTGATTTACAACGCGACTGTTGTGATGTCACTTCTATTTCTGTAAGAAACTGCTCACAAGTGTGTAGTAGAAGAAGAATGAGCATGTGTGTGGGAGACTGGAGACATGTGTTTGGTGTGTGTGAGTGCGCATGTGAGTTAGCGAGGCTTCGGTCCAGTAACTCGAGCCAGAACAGAATCACAGGAGGAGGAGGAGGAGGAGAGTGGCCCGGCTCCATCTTTCATGAAACCAGCCCACCGTACAGAATCTCCATCACCTCAGATGACCTCCTCTCCTTCCTCCTCCCACCCTTCCTGATCTGCCACCCCCCTCCTTTTACCCCTCCTCTTTGCCACCAGTACCTCCGCACCCCCTCTTTCTTTGTCTCTCCTCTTTCCTCAGGAGTTTCCTTTCCTTCTCGTCCGTCTCCTTTGCCGTCCCTCTCCCTCCTTGTCCTTCTCCTACGCTCCTCTTCCTCTGCCACACTGGGGAGGGGTATAGTGTGCCATCCCTAGTAGCCCTGACTCTCCGCCAGTTGGATCAGACTACCTGGACAACCCACATCCTTTCCTTTTTTTATGAGTTTGCCTTGGATTAATTGACCACTTTAGGTAAACAACAATTGAGATGTTGTTTCAGCAAAGCAACGACATGGAATTTGCTGGAGTGTTTTATTATTTTGTGGTAGCACCTCTTGCCATAACTCTGAGAGAAGATTGTACCCAGTGTTTGTGTGTGTGTTTGCCTAGCACGCGGGACTTGCCAGTGAATCTGTCTAATTGTAAGTGCTGTTGGAATAAGAACTAATAAACGGTCACTTGTCCAAAAGTGCTCTGCTTACTCTCTCTTGTGTTCCTCGCCTCATCTCCCACGGCTGCTGCGCTCAACAACTGGCACTTCGAGATGCTGTTCACCACACAAGCTGGCCTGCGCGTGTGCCAGCGTGGTCTGGTAGCTGTTTTGACAAAAACAGAAAAAAGATCTGTGTTCGAGTCGGGCCACTGGAGGACAGAGCTCTCTTACGGTAATAAGGCCCATAAAGGGGAGGGATCTCTCTTGGGCTCGCTCAGACCCACCATTATGCTGAGAGGCCAAGGTTACAGTAAGTGTCCCCCAGCCGTGACCACTAATGTTGGCTGGCTAATACAAAGGTCCAGTCCCTGACCTCACCAAGCCAACTCAGCTATCACTAAGGAGAATGTCAATATTGATCCTGTTGGCCCATTGTCTGCTGCCTGGAACCACTCACCCCCTGCGTCGCTATAAAGCAATCTGATTTGGAACCAAACAAGCCTCCTGTTACACAGCCACTCCATTTCTTCTCTGTCGGCCTCACTCTCACTTTCTCATTTTTTTATTTTCCCCTTTCACTCTCTGTTACCCAGTCCGGACCTCCAGAGAAACAGCTGCTTAATCAACAGAGAGGGAGACCAAATTCCTGTTCTCACTCTCCTGGCCTGAACAGACCCCACATGAAAGTTGAGAAATCCAGATCTGGTGTTTGCCAAGTTGTTGTTGTTGTACCCTGTCACGGGGATACCCTGTGCCTTTAGTCAATCAGATGCACATACTTGCACATACCGTACTGTAAGCTGGCACTGAGGTGCTGAGTATTACTCTGTTTAAAGGAACAGTTCACCCCAAATCAAAAGCGTAGTTTTCCTCTTACCTGTGGTGCTATTTATCAGTCTAGAGTGTTGCAAATATCAGCTGTAGAGATGTCTGCCTTCTCTCCAGTGTGACTGAACTACTTGGCACTTGGCTTGTGGTGCTCAAAACACCAAAAAATACATTTGAAAAACTGAACAGCAGTGCCTCTTTTCCAAAAATCATGACCCGCATACTCAAGTTATATCCACAGATTTGTTGTAAGCACTTTTGTAGGAAGTATTTCTACCAAACTACGCCTGCCAACCATATCACTGCACAGAAGGACAAGTGCATCTACTGCTAGCTCACCTAGCACTACTGAGCTAGCTAATATTACAGTTCAGCCAAGGAGGACACCGTTTAGGTGTACATCTTGTGCTGTCACAACCATAAGGCTCTTGTTCATGAGTAGATAGTAGATGAGTAGTAGCACGCTTCCTTCTGCATGGTGATTCAATTGACAGGTGTACCTTGATGGAAAGAAAATAGTTCTTACACGAAACAGCTCACAACAAGGTCTGTGGATTCTTGTGAGTATGCGGGTCATGATTTCTGGAAAGAGACATTGCTTTTGAGCTTTGTGCACCACAAGCCAAGTGCCATCTATTTCCATTGTACTGGAGAGAAGGCAGACATCTCTACGGCCAATGAAAACACTGGGCAACTCACACCAAAACAATCTAGACTGATAAATAGCACTGCAGGTAAGAGTTACAATATGTATCTTTGGTTTTGGGGTGAACTGCGCCTTTAAGGCTTGCAGATAGCGATGGTTATGTAGTGTTTTGGACATTTTGGACACTGCTAATGAACAGACAGACACTGAGACACACTTGGTTGATGAGCTCATCTCTTGCTCACACAGATAAATGTCTCTTAGTCATTTTAGCTCTTTATAAAGAACAAGCAAACGGGAACAAGTGATGAAAAGAAACATTCGGAGGCGGAAGGAGTAAAACAATAAATGAGGTCATAGACAGATCGAGACTCACAATGTAACATGATATTCTCTCGACAGACTGCTTTCTGAGTGATTAAAAATTTTTATGGAAGTAATGTGAATCTCAAGATCATTTATATTCTACAGAAAAAAGATTCCATAAGTTGATTGTTGCCCATGATGATCGTTTTGCTGACAAGATCATTTAGCATATTATTCTAATCAATAACAATGTTACATGAGCTGAAGGAGAATAGACTTTCATTTTTAAGTGATAACATCTGTGGAGGACCTGCCAAAATTGCGTAGTGTTTGGACGTGAATAAAACAGATGATTGTTTCCTGTTCCAGAAAAGAACACAGTTTGACCTCAAAATGCAACATTTACATTAAAAGCTTCTGAGGCAGAATAAATGCCAAATCTTATTTCTTAAGATGTGAGCAGTTTATGTGTTTCTAATATCTGCCGTTACTGTGGTTTCCAGCTGTTCTTTAATAATCACCAGAAGTCTTTTATTTCAGATTATCAGAAAGAGGCTAGACCTCGCAACAGGGTGACCCTCATCTCATTGCGTACAACAGCAGGAAGCTCCTTAATTACAAGTTGAGGTAGTCTGATTTGAAAAGTGTCTAGTACCCATAAAGTGAGCTCTGAGAAGCGAGGTCATTTGAGTGGTTCGTAGTGAATCATCCTGCTTGCAGAATGTGAAGTAATACTCAAACTTTAGTACCATCAGGTGTCTCCTTATGTAGCAGCGCTTTGCGTTTGAGATCTTTTACGAGAAGGGATGTGAGAACTGTGTGGCAGAATGTGCAGGACTCCGCAGAGGTAGACCTGGTCAGAAAAACGACAGATGTTTTCACTTTAAATCACAGGGCAGTGCAAGGGTATTTCTGGGGGCGGGTTCACATGAGAAAAAAGGCACCCCTCCTAATTACTTATAAAAAACAAAGTTACATACAGTAGTACATCTTTAACTTAAGGCATGGTGGTGCAGTGGTTAGCATTGTCCCCTCACAGCACCAGTGGGGAGTTTGAACCCTGGGGTGGGGGAGCCCTTATGTGCGGAGTTTGCATGTTCTCCTCGTGTCAGCGTGGGTTTTCTCCAGGTGCTCCGGCTTCCTCCCACAGTCCAAAGACATGCATGTTAGGTTAATTGCTGACTCAAAATTTCCTGTAGGTTTGAATATAAGCGTGAATGATGTGTCAACCCTGCAATAGTCTGGCGACCTATCCAGGACGTACCCCGCCTCTCACCCAATGTCAGCTGGGATAGGCTCCAGCACACCCACAACCCCTAACAGGATAAGCGATTATGGAAAATGAATGAATGAACATATTTATTAATTTCAACAGCCACACACTCATGCATAGTGGTTTAACTTCACAACGGAGACAAACAATTGCGAGGCTCAGGGCGAAACACTCTGTTACCTGGCTGGCTCTCGCCAATCAACATATCCTTGTTATACAGTTTGTAGTCTCGCCACCAGACAATCAGAGATCTCCGCCTTCTGATAGTCTGGGGACATTCCTTTCTAAAGTGTGTTTAACACACCGGAGAAAACGGCCGGCAACAAAGCAACACCTCTCGCATTTTTGAAAAGGACACGCCCTCCCGGAAATGTGCGCTCCCCCTTTTCTCGTCTGCAAGGACACAAACACACAGAGAGCTTGAAAATGGATGCCGAGAGATTTACCTCCGTTTTATCAAACGTGTGCTCAGTCCACAAGATTGTGGAAATGAAGGACTTACAGCGACTTGAACCATTTTGTACCGCTACAAGTGTTTCTAGTCAGACTATGTTTACGAGCACAAGAGTTCAGTGAGCCACCGAAGGACCACCCTGTGGATTTACTATTGGTTCTGCAGCTTAGGGAGTTTTTTTAAACTCTGAAATTGTATCCGCCCATCTAAATACAAAATCAGGGAGAAAGTCATCAGTCTTTAGTTAAGCAAAGCGTCTAAAGACTGACTTGTGAGTCTATACAGTTTGTGTATCTTATGAAAATGCACATACAATGGTTTGTGTGATATCTAATGAATTAGCACGCCATAAGTGACATAATGTGTGTAATGTGAAGTTACGTATTTAACATAGAGTAATGTAGGTTAGGTTTGGGCAGGCATTACTTGGGCTAGAAAAGAAACATGGTGATGACATACCTTTAAACAACTCAAAGTTCACTTTGTAGTAGGGATGCAGCGAATATTCGGTAACCGAATATATTTGGTTACCGAATATTGCAAAAAAACACACATTCAGTATTTGGTGGAATAAGTTAAAAGCAAGGCCGAATAATAGTGGCGTGTTTTGATAACGCAATCAAACAGCGTGCCGTGACGCACGGAGTAAAATGTCGGCAGTGTGGCGATCCGTCCCTCACTGCACTCGCATTTGCGACTAAAGATAGTTTTGAGCGAGCAAAGTAGGCTTAAATTATTCAGCAGGCTGTGTGAGCAGCCTACAGATTTCAACCACCAGCAGAAACGAAAGGCGAATCCCACCGATTGTGGGTTGAACGGGGGTCGAACACAGGTATGTGACGTGTCAGAGGAGAAACGAGCCGTTCACGGCCCACAAACCTCACCGCACTTTAGGGACTGTTCTTTACTTATGAAGGGACCGTCAGGTGAGGAGGGTGGCTGGTTGATTTTTATTTTATTTATTTATTTATTTTATTTTGATCCCTCCTATGTTAATCACTCATTGATGCTGTTTTTGAAGTATGAATAAGTCAATAAGTAATTTATTCCATTGAAATATCATTGATGTATTATAGAAAAGTGATTTATCTTTTTATAAATGACAAAAGGCACATCTGCCTCATTTTCGCTGTGGTATCATGATACTACTCAGAACCATGATATTTTCATTGGTATTGTACAGTGGGATCCAATTTTGGTACTGTGACAACACTAATCTGGAGGGGGTTCATCTGCAAAAACTAATGAAAAACTAAACAACGATATTCGGTATTCGGTACTCGGTATTCGGCCAAGCCTTTAATAATATTTGGCTTCGGCTTCGGCCACAAATTTTCATTTCGGTGCATCCCTACTTTGTATCACACTGTTCCAAACACTGGTCTCCTGGGGGAAAGTCCTGTGCTGTTCTTATGAAGAGTTTCACTCTTTACACTACTTACTTCTTTACTCCCGTCAGCGCATTGTTCACATGATGGCAGTCTCTCTGATTATGTGGGTTATACATGAATTGTGGTGCATTACTTTTCATA